AGTCCCACCAACAATCACACCCTCAACTCCATTTTCAATTTGCATGTTCACTAAGGAGTCATAAGCCTCGAGGTCAAACCTGCCATCTGGTAGATATGGTGTTTTAATGGCTGTAATCAGTCTCAGAGACTTAATATCCTCAGCAAAAGTCCTGGCAACAATACAAAGTGTTACATCATTAGCAGCGCTGGAACCCCCACCCTTCTCTCTCTCTCTCTCTCCCTCCCTCCCTCCCTCCCTCTCTCCAAAAGGACAACTTCATTAGTTTCTCAGTCTATACCGAGCTTTTCTACTTCAATAAAGTCAGCAAGCAATCCCAGATATGTAGACTAGCTACAAGCATTCTCTATAATTTGACATAATCTTTTTGCTAACTTCCTACATACTACAGCAATCACAGACAACTCTGATTTGGTACCTTATGCTCCATGTATAAAGCACATACACATGCATGCATAAAACCTGGATTAATATAAGTAGATGAAACCAATGCATGTGTCGCGCAAACATTAATTCCTTATACTTTGTTGGTTACCAGCATCAACGCCATTAGCAGCTAAGAAGCCTGACTAAAACGTTTGCATGCAAGCTTTCATATTTTTATTACTACACTGATAATGTAATAATGCTTTCTGACAATCTGCGCATAGAAAATTTTTAAAAACTAGCAACAAACTTTTCTACTACTGCCCTTTTGAATCATAAGCATCTCTGAGAAAGAACATTTTTGAAATCACCAGATTAGGGAGTGGGAGTGATTCCAAATAAAATTCTTTCATTCAAGCAAATATGCTATTTCAATCTAAACTTACGCCATATAATATATCAAAATACCCTGGACCAGTCTTAAGTTTATTTCTAATCAATCATCCCTGTAATACCACCTTCATCTCCCCTTCTATCACGATAAATTGATAGTTCAGAAGAAAGAGATGCAAGACATAAATATCTTTGGAAAAAAAACTCGTTCCAGAATGTAAAATGCTCAGTACCGATTCAACTGTTACCCAAATCCTAAATTCAAGACACTTGATGAAAATAAAGAGAATAAAGATTAAGTCATAATTCAAACCTATTCTTAACTTCAAAACTGCGCATTGGGAGATGAAAACTAGAAATAACAGCTGCTTCAGGAGACCTCCACCTTGCATTCCTCCTGCTTGACAGAAACAGTAGTAGGTATTAGGTAGAATAAAAATCCTGGCTACAAGAAGATGGACTTCTCCAATTACTTATCATGCTAAGCAGTAGGAAAAAGTCATAGCTATTCTCCACAACTTCATCTTCATTGAAACAGGTTAATAACTCCCAAGAACACACAAAGAATGGCAAACACATACAGAACTAAACTATGGTTAACCTACTTGCCCAGTTGCCCTAATATGTTTGTCATACAAGCAGGATCATATTCATTCACCATTACCTACGTTAGCTATGGGAAAGGGAACAATGATTTCCCATGTCTTGGTAATCAGTTCCATAGAAGTAATTTCTACCCTCTATCATTTCCAATGTTTCCTACAACTGACGACAGAAACCCCCAAAAAACAGGCTGGAAGGTATACCCACAAACAAGCATCATTGCACATAGGATAAAATTGTGACCATCAAATGCGTGAAGCCATGTTCTGCAATCAAATATTCATTCCATTTTTTTGACAATCACTTGTGCAGAATCAAAGTGAAACCTGTAAGCCACTCCTTTTACATACTAACGCAAATCACAACACATCTTATCACAAGTTTAGTCATCGGACATCTTTCAGGACCATATTTTATAAGTCTTGATATATAAAGAGACCACAAGGTCACGAAACAAATCAGCAAAAGTTGTTTTAAGTGATTATGTCACGCTATCAGTAGGTAACATTTTCTGCTTTTCTCAAAACACACGTATCCTATATAATTCTGCAGACACTCACTTTAATGAGATGATAAATAAAGTTCCATACGCAAAAGAAATGAAATAAAACATGTATTAGGCCACTGATAAAACGAGTACATTATAAAAAAAGATTGTAGCTTTGTTGAAATTTTTATAATGAGTGGAAATTAAAAAAGACAAATAAATAAGACAAGGACTCTGATTAGATTATTAAACCTTTTATAGACAATGGGACGAGGCAAACCGACTGGAGATGAGTCCCTCAGGCTCTTTAAGGCTGGCAATTGTTGGTAAACAGTTGACATCTCAACAAGGTAGAGAAATCCCACAAATTGACTAATAAAATAAGCAAAAAACCGGAGGACTTTCTGGAATTATTATATATTTTTTGAAGGAATAAAGGGGTAATTTTATCTTCAGAAATATGGGATGATCGTAATAATCGACGTTGTAATGAGAATGCCGGTGAATGTAGTGATGATGGTATTGGAGGTGGTGAAGAGATGGAAATTGGCGGCGGAGGTTTGGGCCGGGGTGATGGGAGAGGGCATTTCGTCTGATTCCGGCGAGAATAACACGCGGGCAAATGACGGCGACGGCGGCGCCGAAAGGAGAGCGCTGGGAGATTGTGTTTGTGGCTATGATTTGAAAAGGAGAAGGAGGAGGTGATGCGAGGACTAGGGTTTTTGAATAATTTGGATGCTGATATTAGTTTACTACAATTTAATAAAGGATTGGGCGATCAAAGTGCGAAGTGCCTTCTGGCTCTGGTATTTATTTTTTCAATTCAATAGAAGTTAAATTTAAAATTTGTGAAAGTATTTAAATGTAAAGATAGATATAATAAATAAATGTGATATGTACATATACTACATACTAAATTATATTTAATTACCAAGCTTGGAAAAAGTCCCTTTCGATTGCAATATTTTGAAAAAAAAAATTGACTTAACACTTTTTGTAAGATGCGATTATAGGTGATATAAAAAGGATTAACTTTTTCTACACACTGACAGTAGCATTGAATGAATGACATCTATATAAAATTTGAATTTGAAATTCAACTTTTATACATATATTATAAATTTAACGGTGATAATTACGTATATACAATCAGTTTATATAAGATTTACTCACATAAAAATGTGGTCGAAAGATGTAAGAAAAATTTTTCTGCAAAAATGCAATTCAAAGTTCCGAACAAGGCCAATTTTTAGTGTGGAAATTGATTGCTGACATTTTTTTTTTCCAAACATTTTCTACAGTCTTGACTGGGTTGGCACGTGGTGAGTGGTGAGTCGCTTTCTGTGGAAAATGGGACGCAAGAAACTTTTGAATATTTACAAAAGATTTCACTCTCAAGATTGACCAAAAACAGAAAGTTGTAACTTCAAAATGATTTAAAAAGATTTCTCAACTCTCATGCAGTGAGGTAATTGAAGTTTTGTGTTATAAAATTAATGAAATGTTACATTCATTTCTTAAAGGAGATGCATCAGAATATTTATTCCCCTACCTACAAATAAGGGTAATTGATATACTTATGTATGTTCTCGTAGTTTATTAGTTCATATATGAAACCATTCAATTCATATATTTGAAGTACTAGATTCATGTATTTTATTAGTTTTGGTATATGTACCTTTCACCTTGTATCACTTATTTATAAATAGAGGGTATATAAATCTCATTTGTAACCTTTGAAATATTACTCTTTCATTCCCTACATTTAGTATATTATGTTATTAGTTTCACAACATTTTGGGACTTTTCATTTATTTTTTTTGAGCTTCCATTTTCCATTTTATAGGTGTAATCTACTAATTTCTTGATAATATGCTATTTTATAACACTTTATTGACTAATCAAACATTAATGATGAATTATTCATCCTAAATTTTAACAAAATGGCGTTAATGCCCTTACATAATAGTTCTAAAATAATGCTATTCTTTTAATCCGAATATGAAACATCTTATTAGAAAAAACACAAAGTCACATGATTTAAAAAAAAAATAAAAATAAAAGATGGTATAATACCAAAGAGTTGAAAAATTATATTGTGGAGAAAAAAAGCATTCAAAGATTCCTAAAACTTCTGCATAAGTTTAAATTCTTCCTAAAACTTAAAATCTTAAATTCTTTAAATTCTTCCTAAAAAAAGAATTTAAAGATTCCTAAAGCTTTTGCATAAGTTTTCCATCGCTTATCTTTCTTCTTTCAAATTGTAAATAGATTAGTTTTGATAATTTTCATTTATCTTGCAGTTTTCACAAGTCAATAAAATGCTATTTGATAATTTTATGCCACATTCATACCTTGCTTTGTATTTTGTTTGAATTCAACATTTTTAAAAAATAAAAATTCTCTATATATTTTTTAATACATTTTTATTTGTAATCATTTTTTATATCATATGAAACACATTAAAAAGGTCTATAATAAAAAAAAAATATAAGCACTATTTTTTCAGTCCAAATGCGCTAATTAATTTTATTTTCTTTAAAATAAGTATTGCTATATGCATTGAGATAATTTCGTTAAGTTGCTTAGAATTTTGTTTTTTTGTGAATTATCTAATTCGTTTTAGCGCTAAAAGATCGAAATACATAGTGTAATTGTGTTTAGACACATTTAACAACTATTAAAGAAATAGGTATTTATTATGTTACAATTATTACGCTTGTTTAAGAACTAGTTAGAGACATTTTGGTAATGAAAAATATAACTTTATTTCAACCCGATCAAAAAGTTAATCACAAAGTATAAAGTGTATATATTTGGAGTTTAGGCGAGGGCAAAGTGTTACAAGGACCCAAATTCAAGGAGGCAAATTATAATTAACCCTTAAAATAATACTACCATGGTTCACCCAAAGGATAAAATGGAGCCGCTACCCGATGAAAACCTTCATTATTATTAACCATATAGACTAAGGGCGAAGCCACGGGATCCACGTCGGACGTGGTCGTCCTCCGCGTGGTGAGAGGAGATTGGCTCGATGGTGACGTGGCATTAGGGGATTGGCGACGATTTTGCCTTCGTTGCAAGTGAATTTTTGTTTGTGTGGTCGTTGCACTTCATCCTTCCTTCCGTCCCAGGCTTGCTTCTGTCTCTTTCCTTGCCACTGTTTAGCTCTACTGTGGTTTTCTGCAGGCGATTGGTTGAGGTCCCACTCATCAGACTCTTCTCTACCGGCTCCAACCAAGTCCCCTTTTGCTCCACATGACCTTTTTTTCTCTTTCTTTCATTCTTTCTTTCGTGCCTTGGTCTTCAGACTCTTCACTGGAAAGCTCCACCAACCCCAACCACTCCAGCCATCCTCTCCCCTTTGTTTCTCCATTTCCTTTTTTAATCAATCAATCATCTATGCCTTTTGCTAGAAGCGATGGACTTGAGATGACCACTCAGTCCTATCCATTCTTTAGCCTTTCTCTGTCATACATTACCCATTGTGCATTCCCGAAGTTGTGGTCAATATGAGATATGTGAAGAGATCCCCATCAAATTCAACTTTCCTATTCTCTTCTCTTCTTCCATCTCCCTTTTGTTACGGGAGAATAGATGGTGAAAAAATCAGTTGAGCAGAAAAAAATGTTTTGATTAAAATAAAATAAAGGAAAGAGGAAAAAGTGTTGATTCTTCTAATTCCTCCACTTTCTTATGCCCGAGTTCTTTTGTACATTTTTTTGCTTTCTAAAGAAACCGTGTTGTGGGTTTTTTTTGTTTTTTCCCAATAGAGCGAGGGATCAATGATAAAGGAGCCATCTTTTTCAGGTTTGAGGTTATGTTTAAGAGTTTTTATCAATGATTTTTTAAATCAATAGCCTATTGTTGTTTTTTTGCTTGAACTATTTTTATTTATCGGTAGCCTTCTTGATTTTCAAGTTTAGAAGAGATTTTTGCAGTTTTTCGGGACAAAAAACAGCTTGGATGAGTTTTCAGGAAAATTGCCTCGGCGAGTTTCTTGCTACAGATTTATGTGTTTTGGACTATTATTATCTAAGCGCTTTTGCTTCGTTGTCTTTTTTTTAATGCTGTTTTAGACATTTATTTTTTAGGAGTTTGGCTTATAGTTTAGAGTAATTTCTGTGTCTTGTAGTTTTGTTACATCTCTACTTGCTTCAGTTTTGTTCTTGACATGTGCAGGTGCTGGCTAATATGAGGAGAGAATGTGGGCTGAATAATGTGACATGCAAAGTATGGAATGATTTTTTATTTGATAGTAGTAGATTTTAACTCGCTAGCTTATATGATGCATCTTCAGTTCTTCACAGATAAATGATGCATTGCATACTTAGTTTCTGAAGCCACGTTTGACTAGAGCCCAATAAACTTATAATTGGTCATATTTATATGTATTGCAAGGTGCTGGGACTTACATGGCGTGTTTGGGATGAACAGATATTCACCGTGTGCCCAAATATTATCCTTGGAGCTGATGTCCTATATGAAACAAGTAGTAGGTTTGTCCCTGTTTTTCTCTTCCCAATATGGTGACTTTTTTGGTTTTGTTTCACATATCACTTAACTGGAAAGATGTTTTTACCACGCATGCACTTTGAAGCATTTGATTATCTTTTTCCTACTGTGGCATTTTTGCTCCAAAATTCTCCCTCTTCGGTTTTTATAACAGCTTACCACAACAGAAGATGGTTATGGATTTTCAATTCCTGATTTTTTCTTGGCTAAAGGACATTTGGTACCGCGCTTGGGTGTATCACAGGTTTATGTTAATTTTTTATTCCTCTTTTTACTGTAAACAGTGGGCATCACCTGATTGAGTTCTTGATGGTTAAATGGGGATTGAAGTGCATGAAGCTTCTAGATGGGTTTTCATTCATGCCAGCTGACAAGGCATCTGGATTAAGTGGGAATACACAGTTGGTAGACATATTTTGGGATAATAACAAACTAAGTTAGCATATGGTCGTGATGCTTATTGAGAAAAATGGTAAGATGCGATATATTTTTTTTCTTTGTTCTTTCTCTTTCTCTCTCTCTCTCTTTTTTTTTTGCCTTCTTGAATGACTATTAAAATACATGGGTTAGGGATGACATTAACATGTTACACTATCTGTTCCCCCCTTGTTTTTATTTATTGCTTCACTTCTGGAATTAAACTAAGCTTGATGCTGAATTGAACTGTGGACCATAAGCAATTGTTCTGGTTTTTGTAATTTTTTTATGTCCTGTAACAAGACCACTGCAATCCTGTATTGCATATTCTTTCTGTTTGTTTCTACTTCTGCATTTCCTCATTCTTATGGTTTTTATTGCTGAAGCATTTCCTCAATTTCGAACTGTCTTTTAGAGAAATGGTTGCAATGTGCTTGGTGAAAGCCTTAAAAAAGAGGCCAACTGCAGAGAAACTGTTGAAACATTCCTTTTTCAAGAATGCAAAGCCTCCAGAGCTTTCTGTGAAAAAACCCTCTACTGACATACCTCCGTTGTGGAATCGTGTCAAGGCAAATTTGAGTGTATGTCATTTTAATGGTACTATTATGGAACTGCTAACCATCATTTTATTTTCTAATGGTTTACCTACTAAAAATTGCAGCTTAAGGATGCCGCAGAACTAGCTTTGAAGAAAATGCCTTCAGCTGAATAGGAAGCATTGTCACAGGTCTGGGGCATCAGAAGAATTTACTGGCTGTTTGATCTTTTTCATTCTGAGTTGTCAAAGCTCTTTTACTCTTTGAAAGGGATTTCTACATTTAAAACAGTGTTATTTTTTCAGGCAAAAATAACAAAAGATGCAAATATTTAACTGCTGACCTCCTATTTTCTTAACATCTTTTTTCTGTCTTCTTTTTTTCCTTTTAGGTTTCTTATTAGTTTGCTTTCATGTGTTGTAGGTGCAAGTTTGGAGATTTTGTCTTGGATCACTAACTTTGCATCATTTTTTTTCGTTTTTATTGTTTAGTTCTATGTTTAGCTTCTTTGTTACATGTGTTGTGCTGCTTTGGTTTCTTGCTCTTCACATTATCCTCAGCATCCTCTTGCCTACTGCTACTGTTCCTTCAAAAAACAGGTATTCGTTCTTTACCTCCTTTTTTTTTCTTCTTATTTTTCCTCCAGTGACATGTTATAGCTGTGATAGTTGATGTGAAACATTTTTTCTGATTCTCTTTTATCCTGCATGCTACTTCACGTTTATCCTACAGGGTGGTTTACATGTCTTGCATTTCATTTTTTTCCTGCTTCCTAAGATTTGATGGAACTATATATATGGGCAAACATAGAGAATGGAAAGAAATGAACTTTATCTGTGATGCCTTCTTCAGATGAAGATGCGTCAGAAAAATTCTGAATTGAGAAGACATGACTATAGAGTTCCAGTTTAAATGATAAAATTAGTGAAATTGATTCATGTATACAACAAGGGAATATGCTTATTATACACTAAGGGAAAAGTTGTTTTAAATCTTGATTCAGTCCACAATAAGGGAAAGCTGCAGACAGTAAGCAAAATAGGTTTAAAGTTCGTCCTCAATTTTGTTTTGAACTTGGTATATTTTTTTTCCCCATATGTTTTTTACCTCAAGTATACATAATTTGATTTTAGTGAACTCTAGACAAAGATTAATACGGCACAAGTATCATCATCGATGAACCAAATTTTGTTCAAAACTTACCTGAAGGTGTGTGCTTCTATCAAGTAGTTACCAAACAAAACAACTATAAATTTGTAAGTTTGGGGTATTTTTCATTTCATTCTTACCATTCATATTATATCACGTTCATAATTTTCTCTAAACAACAACAGAAAGTTCCAAGATTTGTTGGATACTTCATACATAGTGACCTGACGCCTTCAATTACTTCGAGAACTGGAAGGAAAACAATGACAATTGCAATGCGTGAGAGGCAGTTTGCAGATAGCTGGGATATCTTTCTGATTGAGCATCAATTGTAGCCTGGAGAAACATTAGTCTCTGTTCGTGATAAAAGAAGTTCCACCTACACTTTCCTCACCTTTGATAAGGATGGTGTAGATGGTCAATTCCCATGGTATAACATGTTCTAACTGTACTCCATAATAGGAATACAACAACTTTGATGTATCTAAGTAAATATCTTCCTCGGATTGTGTTTGTTATTCTTTACCAATTGATATAAGCATTGCATTTTCGATGTATTTGTTTGTTTCTTTTCAATGTACTCTACGAGGCTTGCTAAATAAGACGTTCTTGCTTTCTAAGGCATATCATTGGTCCATTGCAACTTAAAACTTATCTAATGCATAACATTTGTATGCTGTAATCAGGTTGACGTTTTCTTTTCATTTGGAAAACTCCAACCTTTAGTGTCAACATTTTATATATATTATTTGTCGATGCCATTAAATCTTGGGCATGCTCAAACTTTAGTGTCAACTTGAATAATTTACGTAGATTATATGAACTCTTATATTGTTCACTTCTTTTCTTTTATCGAATTATTCTAAATTTCACTTTCACGTCGATTGAGATCATCTACCTTAATTTGAAATGCTCAAATATACAAGAAATGTGCCAAGCGACCTTTTCAAACAACTATTTATGTTTAATCTTGTCCATAGTTAGCTTATATGCAGTCTACAACTATTTCTCATTCTCACTTGCAAAATTATATATTCCGCTTGACAAGCTCCTTTTGTATTTAACACTGCAACTATATATTTGGGCATAATTATCCATCCACCGCGCATCCGCGCGGTGTCCCCGACCGTCCCTGCACGGTTCATGGTCCAGATTGGACCATGAAAAAATGTGCGGCTCAGATAACAAATGGTAACTCGATTTTCGCGTCAAGTGTGGGACCCACCACTATGTGTTGTGAAAATACAATCTGTGGAAAAAAAATTACACGGTGAACAAAAGAAGTTACGCGCTGTTGATGAAGAGGGAATTTGCCAGGGACGGTTGCAGGTGCAACCGTCCCTGCCCCGAGTCCATATATATAAGCCTCTGACTTCCGTACAAACGTTCATGATATTCAGTGAAACGTTAGATTTTGCTTTAAAAAAAAATGAGATGGGATTGAGATGCAATGCACTAAAATCGAAATTTAGGGTACCAATTTACCAATAAATATCTCAAAATTGAGGGGAAAATGTCTGATGCGTTCCGCTTGCTGTTAAACGACTTTCCCGTATCTTCTCAATAAAATTTTCCCAAGGACTGAGCCATGACTTTCAACTCAGCTTCTCGAAAACTTTTTCAGTGCAAAATTTGCCCCTCTAACAATCATCTTTCTGGCCATTTTCATTTTTGACCTTAACTAGATGACTTGAATAACAATGAAGGTTTCGAGCCAAATTAGCATTTTGTCACTGAAACATAAATGTTCAGGGACCATAAATACACGTTTGGGACTCAAATGAGATCATTAATATACTCAAGGAACTATTCTGCTAGCCACATCTGCCTGATTCTTAATCGCATAAACCCCCATGATCATAATTTATACACTGCTAGCTATATACATCCAGACCAATTTTAGCTACAGATATTTACAACTTATTCAGTCTCGGCAAGAAATTTCAAATGATTATTTTTACAAATACCAACCATGCTCACACAAGAAAAGGTGCCAGAAAATCTCTCTGTTTTTAACTTCAGAAACTTTCTACTGGCTTGAGGAAATTGTGATGTTCTAGCTGGGTCATTTCTCCACCTGTCACTGGATCAAACTCACATCTATAGAAACTGCATTTGCAAGAATGTCCACATGGTTAGTTCTGAAGACCAGCTGATTCAAACGAAAACCAGGATCAAAAAGGGAGCAAACAATCTCTAAAATATTCAGTGAAATTCACAAGACCGTCGCATGCTACAATTGAAGAGTCTTTCACACCAAGGGAGAGGGAGAAACCTCTGTATAGCCACAAGGAGGCAATCGTAAGAATAAAAGCATTCTATATCGTGTCTTGTGTATATCCTTTGACTGCTAATTTTATCTTATCTACCATAAAACACAACACCTAGCTATTCCAGAAAACAGATTTCACAGATAAACATAGATATAATCAATCAGGCAAGATGACCTGAATTGCATCAAAGACTTCCGTAAAGGACAATATGCTTAATAGCATCAGAAAACACATTAATGATCAGAGAGAAGTCATAGAGTATTCTCAATTATAAACCATACAAAAGATCAGGCAAATTTATGAAAGTTAAGACCGAAACATGGACTTGGCTCTAAAACAAAATAAGGCTGCCATGTATACCAATTAAAATGCTTGCAACACAAATAATTTAACAAGCAACTATCTGTCTGCAGTTGTAGCCGTAATAGATCCTAAATATCAGGATATCCTGTCTAAGTTGCTGCAGAACCTGTAACTTTTACCTTTGATGTGGTGCAATAGTATGATACTTTTATTTGATTATCTCGGTTGACCATACCATGCTAAGGAACTTAAAAGGTTAATAATGCTACAAGAACCAGATAATGACGACGTCCAAAAAAGGCTATTAACCAAACAGACCTAATTTATATGGTTTTACAAACTCATATAATGAAAAAGCATAATCATACCTTCCATCCATGCCAAGGATTACAACAGTGTTCTTCTGGTGGCCAAAAGCAACAATGTGCTGTAAGCCTTCCGCCAACCTAAATTGAGCCACTGACCACTCAGAACTGAAATACTTTGGTAAAACTCCTGCGAAATAAGACCCAAGAGATGTAAGTCAACGAATCATAACCTTCTTTATTTTGTCTGCAACACTATTGTGCCTTTGCTTCACAACACTTACTATAGAAGTCCTGGAATTGAACAGGAACTTGGTAACTATGGCCCAGATTAGAATTTTATTAAGGCATGGGTCTTATTTGCCACTGTCAGATGGCAAGGAAAATAGTCTTCAGTTAAGAACAATTGGCCTGATCAAATAGAGTCAAAACTTGACAGAACTCTGGTTGTTTAATTATTTAAAGTTGGATATGGCAGTGAACATATACTCCGACAAGATTTAATAGCGGAAGAAAAAACATTAGGAAAATTCAGCACAATAAAGATGCTTATAAAAGTTCTGATAACATTTTTTTCTGCCACCCTTCAATAACTGAAACTAAATGAGCAAAGGTTAGTCCATTAGCAACAATGCAATGTGACCTTATCTTGGACAGAGATGTGTTTTTATTTTCCTTTCATAGGAAGTACCAACAAAAACAAAAAGACATGCAGCCAATGCTTCTAATAGTAATACAATGGTATCAGCCTGTCTTTGAGAGCTCTTTTGATCTATATAAATTGCCTATCCTTCTTCCAGATTCAAGATCAAAAGTATCCTAAAGGCCCGAAAGACTTCAATCATAATAAAGAGTGGAAATTTGTTACACTTAGGGTCTGTTTGGTTGGAAGTAAAATGTTTTCCTTGGGAAAATATTTTCCGTGGAAGTAATTTTCCATGAAAATCATTTCCCTTTCATCATTTTCAGGTGTTTGGTTAGCTTATTGAAAATATTTTCTTACTTCATTTTTCTGGTGTTTGTTTAACTTTTGAAATATTTTCACTTTTATCTCTATCTTTACTTTCTACACATTATAACTACATACTTCTTCCCATGCAAAATAAGAAAATTTATCTCATTGTTTAACTTTAAAAAATCTTGGAGAAATGTATATATGAATAAAAAATATCTCCTTAAGCAATAAACAAATTGCTGGCCATTTAGTGTCAAATATCAATCACATGCAATGCTTATTGTGACATATATCTTGCACTCTCACTGCTGAAAGTTTCTCTAGAAAAAAATGTCTCTATTATACATAATTAATTACTAGCATAGGATGAGCAGGATGAGGTTTTATTTTTTTATTTTGAATATATTAGGGGGAGGGTTGGGTTGGGTTGGGTGGTACGGGGGAGGGAATGTAAGGAAGAGGTCTTGGGTTCGAGTTCTCCTGTTTACACTAAAAAAAAAAAAGAACATACTACAAGATGTTTTCAGTAAGTTTGGAACATACTACAGGCCGGATGCATGCATTTCGGAAAACAACTTCAGTAAGTTTGGAAGGGAAGTTGTTTTCCATAAGATGAGTGAAAATATTTTACATAGGAAAATGTTTTCAGTAACTTTTGTGCAACCAAACACGGGAAATTAGGAAAATATTTTCCTGAAAAACATTTTCACCCGAAACAAACGGACCCTTAATGGTTTCTTCGACTAGAGGCATGTACTCTGCTAAATTACTGATGATTCTTATAATTTTCTCAACAACTTTCCCTGATGCTATCATTCACAAAATTTAGAAGGAAGAGTTTACTACCTTTTATGAAGGAGAGATGTGAAACTGCAGTTGGAGATGCATTGTTTGGTTCCGCTGCTCCACGTGATCTATCACTTCCTAAAGATCCAGAATCAACCTTTAGGCTAAAGACATGTACAGTTCCTTTATCACTTGACACAGCTAGCCACTGGGCAGACGAAGAAAAAGCAAGGCTGTAAATCTCTGCTCTGTCCGCTCCTCTCCTCACCTGAATTTGAGTAAGCGCACAAAGTTAAAGCTTAAGAACAAAGAATCAATAAGGAAAGGGTTGAGTGTCTATGAACTGGCCATGTTAATTGAATAGTAATTAGAAAAGCCCTTATATCGAATACAGCAAAAACCAAGTTCACTCCTTGGCTTGTCTTTTAACTATGATACATTATCCTCCCATCAAATACTTTCCCACTAATTGGATGCAAATGACCCCATTCTTACAGGCACAAGTTTCACCATTCTTGATTATAAATTTCAAACAAGATATCAAATAATCTAGTATCATTTTTACTTAAAACTGAGAGGAACAAGTGCAAAGGTATAAATTTTTATTTCATGCTATAAACTCCGATATTTAACCATCCAAGCAGTTAATTCCGCCAAGCAACAAGTGATGGAACAGTAAATGACAATGCAAGCGTGCATGAGAAACATCTGCTATTCTCTGTCAAGAATGGTCAAAGTCAATAATTCAACAATTATTCATCAGGTAAACCCTCCTTCCTTTAGGGCAGCCACTCAAACAATCTTAACAGTTGTAACCATGAAGCTCCATCTTGGTCTACATATTTGATACCCTAAGACATTTATGATCACTGTGCTAGTTTTCGCCTAGTCAAAGTGGTAGGCCAAATCTGCTGTAGAGTATCAACCCAAAATTCCCCATATCTGAGAATGAATTATCTCCTATTTGGAAGTC